AATTAAACTTCGGTGCAAAAAAATCGCATATATATGTTTGGTAATGTGAAAATAAATGAGAATTACCAGAGAGGTCAAGTAGAAGAAATTCAACGGCTTCAGGTTCATCACGAATCCACCGCAAAATCCTCTCGCGGACATAAGTGCTGTTGGCAAAGAAGACAGGAGAACCCAATTGAAGAATGACATAACCAAGCATTTCCTCGGTACTCGGATACTGTTCAATGTCTCGAAACATGACCGAGTTTGGAATCCTTCCCAATTTACAAGTGGAGGGCCTTGCAACGTACAACAAGGCTCTTAGGATAGAAACCGCAACGGACATCACGAGACCGTAGTCCATGCTAAGGAAGGAAACACCGAAGAAAGCGGTCATGCAGACGATGAAATCAAACTTGTCAACCTTGAAGAGATGGTACATCTCCTCGTAGTCGATGAGACCCAACATGGCTGACATAATTATAGCTGAGAGACCAACCAGAGGTGTGTAGCTGAATATAGGTGCAAGGAACAAAAGCACAAGCATCATGCAAATACCCATCACTACATTTGCCATTGGTGTCTTTGTCCCCGCATTGTAGTTCACTGCTGTCTTTGAAAATGGTCCTGAATATTTCACCCACCATTTAGCATCACAACTTTACATATTTCACGTGTAAATAAGATGCTAAAAGTTGTAAACTCAATTTTAAATAATTACTTATAAATAATACAAACACAAACGTAAACACGCAGTCACATGCTAATACCTAGGATTTGGTAGAGATTATTATAAATTACCTGTTGTCAAATAACAAGAAGTAAAGGAGCCAACGATGTTCATAAGACCAAATGCTACCATCTCTTTGTTTCCGTCCGTTTGCTCGTTCTTCATTACAGCAAAGCTTCTTCCGATTGCTATCCCTTCCTGAAATTAACCATTCCTCTTCTTATAAGATCCTATATTTTATACATGGTCAAATATTATTAAGCCAAAGAAAAAGATGGTGAAACTAATAATTTACGTACGGCCAAAGCAATGAGGCCAGTGACCATTCCCGCCTTAAGAACCGAGGGTAAATACTTGGCATCGAAATTCAAGAAATGAATAGAAGGAGGGTTTAGTCCTTTCTTTAATGGCCCAACCTGTATCCAGAAACATATATTGATATAAACCCTAGTTGCTGAAGTCTAAAAACCAGTTCGCTCAAG